CTTCTACCATCAGACTTCTCTCTGTAACCACAGAGGCCATCCTACAAGGCAGGTGTATGTATTTCTGGAACAGTGACGGTAAAGGAGGAGGGCACTTATTTTTTTTTTCTGGTGGGTTAGTGAAAAACGAGCCAACAAACAATCCGCAGCTGACACGGAGAGAAGACACTTGTACTCTTACTTAGAGTTGGGGATAGATAGTTCTCTAAAACCAGCTGCATAAATTGAAAGAAATGAGCTCAAGATAACAAAAATCTGTTCAGAAACTTTCCTATCATTGACACCTTCATTGAGAAGTTTAATAAACATTGGCATTTTACACATTTTTCTTACGTGAATGTTAAATGGTGGCTTATGGCTTAAAGGTATTGGCTAAAAAAACTCTCCAGATATGATGCTCAACCTGAAAGGTTAATGGCAATTAGAATAAACCTATTCAATGTTGCCAAACAGGGTTGTTCCCATTTGTACGGGGTGCGTGGGTTGTCCCCGGGAAGCCTGTGACTCATGTATGAACACACTGACCAGATATTTCCAGCCAGCCAAATAGGCCAAGGATTCATTTCCTATAAAAGACATTTGATTATAGTGTTGAAGCAGGGAACGCTTGGCCAGGCTTGCGTGCACCGACACTAACCCACGGCTCCACACGGCGCATGCCTCAGCCTCCACCCTGATGTGGATGGTGCTACTCCCTCCTCTCCAGGACACTTCCCCTTTCTCCTGAAACTTTGCATTTTTCTCCTTCCCTTTCATTTAGAGAGGACATTTTCTTTGAAAATAACTTTTAATATGAAGACTTTGATTTGAAATCAAAATGGACGGAATGAAGATGAATCTCTTCAGGCATGGACAAGTTCATGGCTCCCTAGAGGAAGATGCATCCCCCCATTGTCTGATAGGTAGAAATTATGGGAATTAATCCTAACAGCGTACAGTAGTGGCTTCTCAAAAACATCCATTGACACCATTTCCTTGCCTTTGAAAGGCACTGGGGTGAGGGGTTTGGAGGATGTCACTTTGGGTGTCATTTCATCTTTGCGGATGTAGAAGATTAGACACAATAAGGTGGGCCCCATGACATTAGCACTTACAAGAGAAACTAAGGATATCAGAGCTGGAGAGTTCTGTGATGAGCACTCAGGGCCCAAGCACAGGGAAGCCAAGTGATGCTCCCAAGGACTAGAACCCAAGGTCACTGTCGGGTGAAAAGAGAACTATATTTTCTCATCAGTCATCATGGTTCATGGTTCAGTTACCTTTCTCTCTGGGCTCTCTGGTTTCTCTATCTATGATATAAAAAAGGTTATGAGCTGCCAGCAAAATACCTAATACTAAAACTCACTTAATCTCTGCAGTTTGGATGAAGAGAATGATTAGTGGCAATAGCCTAAAAACTTCTCTTCTTGATGGCATCTCACTAGAAGTAGTGACAAGCAATTACAGAAGAGTGCTTTGAAAAGCAGTCATTGCTATTGTGGATCATGTCTGTTTGGGGAGACTGATTGATTATATGTCAGGTGTTAAGGAAAACAAAGTACTTAAAATTTAATTTCATTATGGTGTGGCATTTGACGAATTATTGAACTTCTCTGTCTAGCTGTTTCATCTGTTTAATGGGACTGTTAATAGTAGCTACTTCCTGGTGGTGGTGTGAGGGTTAAAGAATTAACAAAGTTTGTTAAATTATTGATTATTATTGATTAACTCCCTTTCATAAACAGGCAGATTGACATGTAGAGGAGGAGCTATCTGTAAATGCGATCATCTATGAGGCTAGTGACAAAATCTAAAAGAGACACTCAAAAGGAAGGGTGGATGCTGTATACATATTTGGAAATATTAGAATGCATCCCATTAATATGCACAATTTATATGTATTAATAAAAAAAGATGAGAAAAAAAAGATGGAGTCATCCAGATCTTTATACCAAAAATCAGTTGTCAATTATAAAGCAATAGCTTTGAATGCAGTGTATGCTCCTCTGTTGGGGAGTTTTGTTAAAAATTGGATTCCCAGGTCCCACACCTGGTAATGCGAATGCAGCAAGTCTGGCATACCTCTCAAGGATCTGAATTTTAAAGCTCCCCAGGAAATGTGACTGCAGGTGGCTTCTGGATTGCACTAGGGAAGTCCAGGAGGGAAATCGTGAAAGGGATTACCGCTAAGGAACTCTTGAGGAAAAGTTTCTAGGCCATGTTGGAATTGATGCTGAGAGGTTAGCATGGAGAGGCCACTTGCCCTGTGCCGGAGGAGCGGGCACGGGGGCAGTTAAAGGGCAAGAAGCAAAGGGTGGGTATCTGTGTATTTGGGAGAGTTGGAAGCAGCTATGACATTAGGGTGAATCAACATGAAGAAAGACAAAGTCTAGAAAAAATATCTCCAAAACATCTCCTTTGTTTAGAAATGTAATTATGGACTCTCACAGTGAAAAGCAGAGAAAGGATTTGAACTCAAGCTTCAGAGACCATGGTGTTTCCTAATTCATGGCTCTTTTGAGCTGTGCTAGAATTATACTCGTAGGGAATCCTTTGTCTCCCACAAGCCTCTTTTCTACTCCAGCTGCTGACCTATGCTGAACTATGTAAAAACCCTTTAACTCCCTCCTGTGGCTATATAGGATACTTATTTAGTTTCCTGGTAAAATCCAGACTCACATTGCCTTGAAAAGATTTGGCCACATGTAGACAAGGTTCTGCAGATGGGTTTACATTCTCTTATTCAAAGAAGACAATTCAAAAATCTATAAGCCCTTGAGAGGCCCATTCCCTCGTGACTGTGCAGTTCATAAAAACTTATTTTTATTACAGAAGGGATGAGGGATACTTTGCTCTGAGTGGGTAGAAGATGCCAAATTTCTGGGATGAACTGATAATGGCATTGCTGCATCAGCCTAAGGTTAGCCTGAGTCCACTGACCCTTCTATCTAGTTGGGATCAGAAGCTCAAAGCAGGTTGAGCAGCTCTGACCTCTTGCCAATTAGTTTTCCAGTAAGTGTTGATGGTATGTATCAGGATCCACCTGGCTTGCAATGATTAGAAAGGAGGAAGATGGATGGAAATGACATATGTCTGGCTTTTAATTTAGGGAATAAGGACTGCTTTCTGCATAGCACCACCACTTTGCAATATTCTATCATTATCCCACTTAATCCTATCAGCCACTTTTTAGATGGGGCCCAGGTTGTAAAGTTCGTTTTACTCAAGATCACACATACAAAATGGGTTGAGACTCTGTACCATGGTTTCTAGTTCAAGTTCTTGGCTCTTTTCCATATTTCCATCCTGTAGTCTGAGATAATATGCACTTAAGTGCTGACTGGAGGTACTTTGCTCATTTGGATGAGAAATCATCAATAGAAAAGAGTCCATTCTGGGAATTCTGCATTCCACTAGGTTAGTGTGAGTTGCTACTTGTCTGGAGGAAGTAAATCTCTGAGCTGTGAGTTACTGTAAACATCTTTGATGTGGGCACCAGGCATCAACTGACATCTGATACTTACCCTAAGAATTTAAAAAATGCTTTATTGAGTAGAATTGTAGGCATGATCACAAGACATCTTGTTTTGTCCCCCACCCTCCGAAGCTAAACACTATTAAAACTCTCAAATCATGACTGGATAAATAATTCATGAAGAAACAATTTTAAGAAGATAATAATGAATAAAATTATGTCCAGAGCTGTAGCTAATAGCAAAGCTTATTTAAGATCACATTTGTCTAGTGCTTTTCATCAAACAGCAGTATTACATAAACAATTTCATTTGCTCTTCACAACAGCCCTGTGAAGTAGGCAATTTCTTTCTCTAGGAAATGAATCTAAACTGTGCAGGGTCACAGTTGGGAAATGGCAAGTTTAGAACACAAGGCCTTTGGGCTCCCCATTATATGTTTGATTTGGAATTATTTGCTAAAACCTCCAAAAACGTCTCATTTTTGCAGGGAATGATTTACATACTCTGAGCTCTGCTGTTAAGAAGCTATGGTACTGGCTAGTACATAAATAATACCTTCTCACAGTGGGGTTCCCTGGTGCTTTCAAGTAGCAATGATTCACTATTGATTTTCTGCAAAGCTTGTGAATATCAAGTCCATTTATCTCTGATGGATAGATTGAAGCAGGAATCTAAGCTATTTTTTCATGATCACCCATCGGGGGTTATGTCTTGAGAGATCCAGCTACATGGCCCTTCTCAAACAATCAGATCAAACTCCCATTCCCTAAAGAATAGAAAGAGAAAGAGTAAACATTTAACGAAAGGACCCAGTTTCTTCAAAATTATTTTTGAAGAAATAGCTCTAGATTCATTCATTCCCCATAACTATTTCTGATTCTCAAAGAAAATATTTGGAGAAGAGCCTAATGGTTCACAAAGTTTTAGAGAACATGGACATCTTCAAAAATCTCCTGGGGAGGGTCAAGTATGTCAGTACCTATAAACAAAAAACTGAGGCAGCAGAGTTCAACAGGACCTGTGATTATCTATTCAAGGAAACTAAACATCAAAGATCTTTTTTTCCTTATTTACTCTGTTTTTGTATAGGCTTCTTTCTATAGCCACAAAAGGAGCTTGGAAGGGAAGGTTGTAGCTTTTCACCTTAGTGTGCCAATGGCCAAAAACAATCCTGGAACTTGTCTGACTGGCTCCAAGGAGGCACATAAGTAAATAAGGCCTGAGTAAACAAAAGAAAAACCTGCCAGTTCAACACCTGGGGAGTCAAGCATCATAGGCCATCTTCCCCGAGGAACTGGCCAATCCATTCCCACCCTTCAGATGAATGCAAAATGTCCTACCAGAGAAATGTAATTTATTATCACGTTGGCAGCAGCGACTTAGGGAAGGAGTGGAATAAAAGACACTCTATCTAGTGATGGGGACCCGCTGTAGTAGTAAGAGACTAAGTACCTTAAGGGCCTGGGGAGTTCTTAAACCTCTCTGGAAGGAGCAGGTATTGGCCTTTCTCTCATGAATGGGGGTCCTTTGCATCCCCTTGGGCCGTTAGACTTTGGCAAGTCTGGGGATGAAGCAAGGCTGCACATGTTCATGAGAAGAAATGACCTTCCCATCCTGAATCTCCTTGGTGATGGTGCATATTTTAACCAGTATCCGGGACGGGGGTCCACAGACGTTGTACCGCTTGAGTATCCCATTAGGGGCTGAGGATGTGAAAACCGGGGCGGTGCATTCCATGGTGCTGGGCTTGGAGGATGTGCAAGTGGAAGGCTTGCATTGGGTGGCACACGGGTTACAGGGAAGCCTGAGGAGAAAACAGAGTTTTACCTATGATTGAGAAAGAGCAATGATGGCTATGAAGAAAAATGGGGGTGGGCAAAGTTTTCAACAACCTGTCCCTCAAAATAGGTGCTTCCAAGTGTTTATTCATTTTGTGTTGTAGTCCAGAGGAAGAAAAAAAAATCAGGTCAGATCCATTGGAAAACAGCATCCTAGCTTGAGAAATATTATGTTAACTAAGCTTCTGATATGGCCAATGTCAGAGCATCACGGGACTCATACTGCAAGGGAGTCAAAAACTGTGGTGGAGTCCAGCACTGTCACTTACCAGCTGGTGACCTCAGGTAGCTCAGTTAACGCTCCTGAGCTTTAGCTTTTCATCTGCAGAATGGACATAATGGGAACTAACCTCACAAGATCAACAGTTAAGGATCAACAGATAAGGAACAAGTTGAGGAACAGAAATGAATCAGATATTTTTCTCATGGGAAGCTAGTCACATTGCTAGTGGTGATTTGCATCCCATCTATGGGATCTTTAGATGTGGAATCTTCAAAGTGCCTTCTGGGCCTCTATAAATGAATAGTTTTTAGAGAATTGGAGTAGTAAACAACTAACAGTAAACACCTTTTGTAATACATGATCTTACTTTGATAACAGGAGGCACTTTGAAATATTAAGGTGATGAAATCAGTTAACATTGTGCTAACATGATGGGGACATGCCTGTTTGGAGAATGCTGTGAGCTGGGTGCAGTAGCGCATGCCTATAATCCCAGCAGCTTGTGGGGCTGAGGCATGAGGATGACAAGTTCAAAGCCAGTCTTAGTAACTTAGGCCCTAAGCAACTTAGTAAGACCCTATCTCAAAATAAAAAATAAAAATAAAAAGAGCCCAGTAACCACCCCCCCCAAAAAACAAAAACACCGTGAACAGAGCTCACTGATGTGATGAGTTGGGGCAGGTTGGTGTCCTTTGCAGTTTCATCTAAGCATGCATTTGTGTTCGTCTGGACTGAGTGACTTCAAAGTGTTCATATTCCAGGTGAGTTTTTAATGGGTTTGTTAGCTTATCATCATTTTAAAAATACAACTTAAAAAAAAAGATGCTGAAACACACCTGTGAATATACTGTTATTGGCATTAAGAACCAGCAGCTGGATGCAGTAGGGGTTTCAGCTGGGGCGGAGTTTCCCCAAAGAGACCAGGGTTGTCTTGTTTCAACTTGGCAAAGTCAGGCATTCATCTCAGTGGGTGTGGGGGGGGGCAGTCTGTAACAGTGGCTAGCAATGTACATCTTTGGGAAAATCCCTTTTTATCTAATAATTTTTAAAACTCTAAGAAGCAAAGGAATTAACTTACATACTGGCTCTTCAGAGCAACTCAGTTCAGCCTATACCTCAAGTTTGGACTAGGTTATAATTGGTAGTCTCGCAGGGTACAGCTTAAGACAGTCTCCATTCAGAGCTTCCCAGCACAAGCAAGAAGCTCAAAGTGCAGTCCCCTGGATACCTGTGGCAGTACATACATTGTGCATTTTAGCATTTTTTCTCATACAAGTTGTTTTCATTTTACTTACTTGCAGTCTGAGCTCTCCAGAAGGCTGCGGTATGTGGCAATCTCACACTCCAGCCGGGACTTAATATCCAGCAGAATGTCATATTCCTGGTTCTGTCTTTCCAGGGCACTGCGGATCTCTGCCAGCTGAGCCTCCAGGTTATGGACCAGACTTTGGATCTGGGCCAGCAGGGTCGTGTAGCGGGCCTCAGTCTCTGTCAGGATGCATTCCTGGGAATCTCTCTACCAGGGAGGAGGAAAAGAAAAGTAGGATTTACAATGACGACTCCTTTAAGCCCAGGTCATTGTTTAAGTCATTGAAACCAATGATTTCTTTGTGATACTGGTAATGGATCTCCAAGCCCTTTTATTACCTCCTAGCCACATAAATCTAAAAGCAAAATGACCAATTATATTAAAGCTTGTTTTCCTTTATCATCCCCCGACACATACTCTTTGTATTTATTTCTCTTCCTCTTATTTTTGGACCACCTGATAATCTCCTACCACATTCTGCTACTTGTAATAGAAAAAAACAAATTCAACTCATTGCACACTCAGGCATTAAAAATGCATCACCTCCCAGTGACTTGGGAGGCTAAGGCAGTAGGGTCACAAGTTCAAAGCCATCCTCAGCAACTTAGCAAGGCCCTTTCCCAAAATAAAAAATAGAAAGGGCTGGAGATGTGGCCAGTGGTTAAATGCCCCTGTGTTCAATCTCCAGGACAAAAAAAAAAAAAAAAAAAAGCATTATCATGAGATCTCATTCAGTAAGTTCTTATACTGAAAAAGGTAGTGAAAAATGTTTAACCATAGACATTTCCCTCACTGGATCAATTCCTTTATGTAAAACAGAAGTTGAAAGTTGGATGAGTAAAGTTCTTTGATTGTGTAAACCTATGAATAATGGTGGGATTTTTAAGTTTTAGTAACCAAATATTTATACTCCAGTTGTTTTTTTGTTTTGTTTTGTTTTTAGTTGAGAAAACTGAGGTTTGAGAGGTTAAACAAGTTGCCTAAGATCATATGACTTTCAGGTTACAAAACCAGCGAAGGGCCAAGTCTTTGTAATACCTTTCATAGTTGGTCATTTCAGTAATTTCTTACATCAGAGAAGCATTGTAACGAGGCGGAAGTGGTATTGGCTGTGGAATCTGAATTGTGGGTCAGACTCATTTCTTCTGTGACTTTGGACAGATTACTTGCTGCCTTACAATCTCGATGTCTTAATGTGTCAAATAGGAGAGAGGACATTTATTTTAGATTCTCCTTGGGAAAATCACCTTAGCTCTTAGAACCTCATCAGTCAAGTTGGATAATAATTATACCCCCTCCCTCATAAGATTGTTTTATAATTCTAATATGATAGCTTATAAAAATGCTTTGCATATATAAAATGCTTTCCTAGTGTTTTCCAAAGTGTACTCCATTATTACCATGAAAAACTTAAAAAAAAAAAAAAGAAGGTCCATAGTAAAACAAGTTTTGGAGTACCCAATACCATATACCCCCTTTTTGGAGATTTATGGTGTATATCAGCTTGTTAAAGGCTTATGGGAAGCCAGTATGTTTAACCTTTGTTTAATTGAGCATTTCCCCCTTTTTTGACTAAGAAGTCCTTTCTTAGCCATAGACCCTTTAACCAACAGAGGAGCTGTTCCGAGGGGCAGAGTTTGGGAAGCACTGTGGCAGACACACAGGTGCTGCTGCCATCCTTGCTGAGCTAGGCTTGGTTAGCATGCTGGGTACCATTCGGTGCTGGGCCTGTAGTTCCACCTCCAGAGCATTCACAGTACGTCTCAGTTCTGCGATTTCCTTCTGGGAGCACTGCTGCTGTTGAGAGCTGGTCACCACTTGTTGATTCAGCTCCTCCATCTGAAACACAAAGTCCACGGGGATTTTGGAAGGAAAACACGACCCACGAAGGGCCCTTGGAAACACATCAGCTTATTGCTTTTTGACTTTTCTACTCTGCCTACCTGGGTGTTGAACCATTGTTCCACATCTTTACGGTTTGTCTCCATGATGGACTCATACTGACATCTCATTTCTTGTAAAATCTGGTTTATGTCGACAGAAGGGGCTGCAGTTACTTCAATGTTGAGTCTATCCCCAAGCTGCCCCCATAAGGAGTTGATATCCTATGAAAAGAAAAAGAATGTGAAGTTATTTGGTGAATAGATGACCTTCGGATGTCTTTTTTTAACAGCAAGAATTCAGTTTAACTGCATCGATCTAAATTACAGTCCACAATAAAGGAATCAATGACTTATAGTAGTATCCATATGCCGTAAAATGATTTACAGCTATTTCAAACATGACTATGTATTCAAATATGTGCAAAATTAAAAGGAATTGACTAATAAGATTAGAGTTTCAAAAAAATCTAGATAAATTCTAGGGATGGGTAACGGAGGTAGCAACATAGAGGTGAATTGATAACGAGAGCCCATAGTCTCTATGATACATATATGGGCTTGTACGAGTTTGACTTGTACCAATTATAGGGAAATTGTAACATCAGAGGATTTTCTATCCAAGTGGCTCCAGATATTGTGTAGCAGCCAATGAGTTTGAGATACATTGAATCCATAGTGCATGAAGAAGCAGTTGGTATTATCAGGGCTAAAAGCCTGAGTAATATCTAATGGGAATGCCCTTTGTCAAGCACAATTCAAAGGAACTCATGCTCATTTTAGAGGCTTAGCATGTATTGACCCTCTTGATCTTTTTCTAACCTCTTGGTGACTGTTTTTGAGGCAGAGGAGCTCCTCCTTCAGAGACTGCACTCGCGCCTCCAGGTCAGCCTTACTCAGGGTCAGTGCATCCAGGATCTTCCGTAGGCTGTTGGCGTCGGCCTCCACGAGCTGGCGTAGGGACACCTCAGCTTCATAGCTTCAAAAGCCAGACATGAAAAGAAAGGCATTAAAAAGAAGATGGTGCCAATCCACCCAGGCAGAACTCCCTTCCATGTTTTTCTCTGGGCTTCTCATTCATTCTATTTCTATGGAGAGTTTTATTCTCTTTAGAAGTGAAACCATCTGATAAATATCATTTGATACATATCATACTTAGTTATTATGCCTAAATTAGTTGGCCAGAGTTATGCTACAGTGCTATTCTTGGAGATGAGGGCATTTATCCTTCTTCCTCTGCCCCTAGAGGCAATGCAGTGTTAGTAAGAAGATATTAGGGTTAGGGGTCAGGGACTTGCGTCTACATTTTGGCTGTGTCTTCCATTGGTTGTATGCTTTTGTATAGGTAACTTCCTCATTACACCAGTTTTCTTACCTTAAACTGAATAACAGCATATTATCTATTTTACTAAGCTGTTATCATGTAACCAGCTGTTAAGCATGTAATCAGATAGTTCTTATGTTAGAACTGTAGGTCCTACATATACAGGTGAGGGTTACCAATCTTAATTATTTACTGAATTTTCAGGTCTCTTTGGAGCTAGTGCCAACATGCTCTGGAGTAGGAGGCTTAGTAGACATGGGAATAATCGTACTGGGATTGCTTAGGTCCGACTCAGGGGTAAATTTTGTCATTGTGACAGTGCTGGGTGGGCTTACTTGGCTCTCAAGTCATCTGCAGCCAGTTTGGTGTTGTCAATTTGTGAGACCAGCCTGGAATTCTCAGCCTTGGTACACAAGATCTAGAATTAAGAAATTGTACACACAAATGAGACAAACACCAGGATCTCCTTCTTTTAAGAACCGAAGAGGTTGTGTGTGTTTCAGTGAATTAGGGGAAGGCAAGTTAAACTTTTTATAAATCTCCAGAGCTATGTTCAAGAAGCTTGGGAGATTTTAGAAAAACAGAGGTTTTGTTATTTTCCTAAAAGATCAGCAAAAAATTACATAAGTAAGAACTTTTGCATATGTTTTTCTGTTAAAAATATAAAATCTATCCCAAATATGCCTAACACACCACAACCCATTAGAATATGAATTCCATGAAGGGAGGGATATTTTTAGTTCACCCACATTTTTTTTCAGAACCTAGAACAATGTCTAGGTGCTCTGAAAATATTTAAAATATAAAACTGAATGAACCCAGATGTGTAGTAACAGCAGCATATCACTCCGAATAAGAAACTTAGGTATCGGAACAAATGATTTGAATAATGTAAAGATGATAAAAGGAGCATAAGAGGAGAAAAAGGTGGAATGGTTCCAACACGGATTAAAAACTAAACTGTTTAGAAACTTACTAAGGAAAAATTTATCTTTTAAGAGCCCTGCTTTCTTATTTGTATCAAAGAAATGGTAACCACTGGTTGTGAACCTGATTTGGTCCTGAGCTATCTAGTTATAATGGTAAAGCCTATCTCTGGCAATAGGAAAAACTCTAAAATCCGAATGTTAACTCAAGTTGACAATTAACTCAAGAGCTTTTCTTATTCTTCAATAAACTTTTTTTTTTTTTCATCATAAAAAGAACTAAAACCGCTAAGGCTTAGCAAATAGCCATTGCTTGGAGACCGTCGATTCACAACTTGGTTAAACAGATGGCTGGATCTTACCTTCTGCTGGAGCTCCTCGATGGTGGTGTAGTAGGACAGGTAATTAGGACACAGGACAGGGAGCTCTTTGTCACACTCTTCCTGGATTCTACACTCCAGTTCAGCGTTCTCTCGTTCCAGCATTCGCACCTTTTCCAGGAAGTTAGCAAGGCGGTCGTTCAAGATCTGCATGGTCTCCTTCTCGTTACTGTTGATACCTTCACCCATCCAGCTGCAGTCATCCAGAGACGGATGGACACAGAAGTTGCTTATGAGGTAGATGGGGGTGCGACAAAGGCGATGAGTGGATTGGCAGACCTGGCTCTGGGGAGTTCTTGGTACGTGGCCAGTTGATTGGCAGCTGTTGTTAGCAGACATGGTCCTAAAATTTGTAATCCCAGAGCAGTTTTGGGGTGGGGTTGAAGAAGAAGTAGTTGTTCTAGATCCCTCGGTATCCACAGCGTGTATCCAGCTTCAGTTGGTCTCCTAGTCTGTGGTCACTGGCTCAAGCACCCTCGACTGAGTCTAAATCCCAAGCTGTTGGCTGTCTCCTCTTTGAAGTGCTTATATAGCCTTCCCTAGAGGTGGTGTCACAATAGGTGGGATGTTTTGCTTTCTAATGTTTATATCAAATCCCATAGGAACACCTCATTAGTCTGCTTTTTACTTGCCTGAGAAGAGTTACTTGTCTCATAAAATGGTGCATTTAGGCGGTTACTAAGTTATTACCCATCGCAAATACTACGTGTCATTGGATCCAGAGCTTCACATTGTATCTTCAAAAGGAACTGTCGTCACAGTCCTCACAGCATCCATTATTAAGCAGGTGTGAGTATATTAGGTTCATTAAATCCTCGTTGACCTCACCCCCTGGAATTGACCGGGAAGAAGTCCTTCCTTCTTTTCCTTTCTTCAGCAGAAAAAGGGAAACTATGAATATCTAATAATAATCAGTGAACTTAGAAAATAGGATTTTATCTTGTTCTGTCCAGCTGATTTTTCCACTTTCATTGTTAGGACATGGTAAACATGGATTAAAATGTTAGTCTTAGATAGGCTTTTCAATTTTTTCTTTTCTTTCAGTGCTGGGGATTGAACCCAGAGACTCGCACATACCAAGCAAGCACTTGATCACTGAGTGACATGGCCAGCCTTTAAATCAGGCTCTTTTTAAAGGTCATTGGCAAATTAGTGTTTTAGCTTTCTAGGTAGAGTTTGAATGTTAACAAGATATTTCTTGGAAGAGACTAATTACTTTTTGATTATCCAAAGCCCACACTTTATAGCACTTTTAGTGCTCAGTGTTTGCTGGGGTATACCATTATCTTACAATTATCACTGCTGCTGGTTTATGTTTGATGTTTAAATATGATCTGTAGGGAGGTATACGTGTTCTTTCTGAGTATTTTCTTTAAAAAGTTACTTGATTCTGAACCTTTATGGGGGCTGGAGGGGAGAATCCTTCTCTTGTCTTTTTCAGCTTCTAGAGGCTGCCCATGTCTGCTGGGGTTCAGACAGGTGTCTTCCAAAGGTCAGCCTTTGGTGCTAGTGGGAGGTGATTCAGATACGAAAAAAATGAATCATAAATGTGTTCAGAGAAAATGCAAGATAATTATTTTATGAATATGCAGTCAGAAGGCCTTTCCAATAGTGACTCAAGATGGCACCTGTAAGAGGTGGGGCCTCCTGAGAAAAAGCTAGGTCACTGGGGGCATCCATTGGAAAGGATATTGGGACCCAGCCTCATCCTCTCCCTCTTTCTTTGCCTCCTGGCTGCTATGAGACAAGTAGTTTCCTCGGCCAGATTCTCCCACCACGATGTACTACCTCACCGTGGGTCCCAAAGCAATGGAGCCGGTTGACCATAGACTGAAACCATGAGCCAAAAATAGGCTTTTCCTTCTTATGAACTGTTTATCTCCAGTGTTTTTTTGGACAGTGATGGAAACTGTACACAACATCTTTGGCTTGTGACCCACTTCCATCTCCAAAGCCAGTCAGGACTCCTCCAGTCCTTCTCACATCACATCATTCAGACACTTCTGCTTCCCTCTTACACATTTAAGGACCCCTGTGACCACATGGGGCCACCCAGATAGTCCAGTCCAATCTTCCTCTGTTGTCCACTGATTAGCAACTTTATTTCCTCTTTGCCATGTAGCCCCCTAATTTTCAATAGCATCCACACATATGAAATATGTAGGAATAAATTTAGTTAGAAAGGTATAAGATTTATGTAAATACTATGTTAACATAGACTGAAGGACAGAAACCTAGAATAAATGGAAAGATACATCATGTTCTAAAATGGAAATACAGTATTCATCATTATAAAAATATCAATTGTCTCTATGTTAACTTCAGTCTCAATAATGTATTAAGATCTTCCCAAAATAGATGTCATTTTTTTTCAACTAGACAAGATCATTCTGAAATTTTATGAGGAAAACTGAAAAATATGAATAATTAGGAAAATTCTGAAAAAATAGTCCTTTCAAAATATTAACATATATTTTGAAACTTCGATAACTAAGATAGTACGATATTGATGCATAAATTGTTGGGCAGACCAGACCAAAAGAATAGACTTAGAAGTCTAGAAAAAGACTCCCAAACAGGTTGGGATTTAGTATGTGATAAACAGAACACTTATAAACAAAGGGGAAAATGTAGACCTTCATCTGTGTTCTGGGGATGATTCCACACCACTCTCCAGGGTGCAGGGAATGTAGGAATAACACCTCATGCCTCATAGCAGGACAAATTCCAGGTGGATCCAAGACTCAGATGTGAAAAAATGAATGTGTTCAGAGAAAACACAGGATAATTATTTTATAATTTTGCAGTCAGACTTTTCAAAATTGACTCAAAAGTAAGAAATCACAAAAACTGGACAAATGTGACTACATAAAATAATATTGATTGAACACAATCGATAAAATTAGAACACAAGATGAAAACCCGGGAAAGAATATTTGCAATGATATTACAGAGAGTGACCAGAAAGAAAATACAAAAGACACTTAAAATAAGAAATAGTGCTTAATGTCACTTGTAGGAAGGAAGATGTGAATTTAAACTATACGGAGGTATTATTTTATTTTACACCTTTCACATTAGAGAAAAATAAAAGGTCGTCAACAATCAAAATGTTTGGGAAAAATCAAAGTTTGGTAACAAATGTATTGCTTGTGCATAAATTCATGCAATTACTATAATGTTACTATAATTAAGACAGTGTGATATAGACATAAATATTGGCAAATAGATCAAAGAGAAAGAATATAGGGTCTAGTGGATTTTTTTTTTTTTTTTTGGCAGTGAGAATGAGCCTAGGGCAAGTTAGGCAAGTGTCTACCACTGAGTGACATTCCCAGTCCTTTTTATTTTATTTTATTTTAAAAATTTTGAGACAGGGTCTCATTTGCCTTGACCTCAAACTTGTTGATCCTCCAGCTTTAGCCTTCTGAGTAGCTGGGATTCTAGGTGTGTATACATTGGGTGAGTTGATTTTTGACAAGTTCTCAAAGCAAGTCCATGAGAATGAGAAAGCCTTTTCAACAAATGTTGCTGAATCAAATAGGTGATTGATCACATAGGAAAAATCACATCTTGATCTCGACCTCACCAGTATTTAATAATTCTTCTAATTCGAGATGGATCACTTATGTGTGAAGTTTGCAAGTTTAAAGTTTTTATAAGAAAGTATAGAAGACTATATTTATAACCTTGCACTAGGCAAAGATTTCTTAGCATATGGAGGACACTGTTAAAAACAGATTGGACGTCATCAAAATGAAAAACTTTTGCTGGTCAAAATGAGTAGCTAAGAAAGCAAAAAGGCAAGGCATAGATTGGGTGAAAGTATTCTTTCTCTCTATATTAACATAGAATATAATAAAGTTATTATATAAAAATTGATTTAAATCTCTTCTGAGCTTCTCAGTATATTTATATTGAGAGTTTTAATCTCTTTAGAAGTAAAAGCAAGGACTAAATTTATAAATATTTATATATAATATATATACATTTTCTATCTATCTATCTGAACACACACACCTGACAACAGAGGACTCTTCCCAGGACCCAGCAATTTCATTCCCAGGTATCTGGCCAAAAGTAATGAGTATATTCTTACCCCAAAGACTCATACAAGAATTCTTATGGCAACTACATTCTTAATAGCACCAACATGGAGCTAACCCAAATGCTTATAAACAGGACAGTGGATCAACAAGCTGTGACATATTTATTTAGTGTGGACTAGTACTCAACAACAATAAAGAATGAGCCACTGCTGCTCACAACAGCATGGAAGAATCTCAGGAATGTACTGAGCTAGAGAAGCCAGGCACAGGAAATACAAACAGTGTGGTCTTCGCTTACACCAACCTCAAAGGCAGGAAGACTTGTCTGCAGTGTTGGGCATCAGAACAGTGCGGCAGGTGGGTTGACTGGAAAGAGCATGAAGGAAGGTTGAAGGCTGATGTTCTACATCTTGACCTTCTATTCTGCTTTGATCTGTGTGATGATTATAGGAGTGCGGGTGGGCTTCAAACCTCACAGGACTGTGTACTTTCAATTGATGCATTTTATTGTATAAAAATTAAACCTTAATAAAGTATAGTTAACCTTAAAATTAAGATCTAATGCAACAGTGTAGCTACGTGAAGCTTCACTATTTTGTTCCTATGCTTAAATTCTAAATTGATCAAACATTGTCATGAAAAATGGAAAAATCATGAATGTGCTAAGAGAAAATGTGGAATTCTCTTGAAATTGCAGAAAGAGGAACATCTTTTCAATAGCAATTCAAAATAAAGGAACCATAAAAATTGATGAATTTGACTCAATAAAGTAATAGTGTTTGAAATAGTTCATAATCTCAAAAATGTATAAAAAAAGACTGGAAGGATATTTGTAATAATGTTAAAAGTCAAATGTTTTACATTTTATGGTTATTAATAATGATAGCTATTTTCTTCTGTATGCCTTTATGTGTTCCAGAAATTGATTGGATCATTTTCAGAATCAGGGAAAAAAAAAAGACTGAAAATCATTCATGTTCCTGTATCTTTCTATCTTTTCACTTTCCTTCTCCTCTGGCATCTCACAGGTAAGGTTGTTTCTTTCTTTTGATACCAACTTCTTTATTTGTACCATTGATTTGATTCCTTATGATTCCTTCAGGGCCATGATTCATGAATTATTATTACTATTATTTTTATTTGATACTGGGGATTGAACCCAACCACTGAGCAACATCCCCAGCCCCACCTCCCCTTTTAATATTTTATTTTTTAGACAGGTTCTTGCTAAGTTGCTTATAGCCTTACTATATTGCTGAGGCTGGTTTTGAACTTGTGATCCTCCTGCCTCAGCCTCCTGAGTCCCTGGGATTATAGGCATGGACCACTGTGGCTGGTATGTTTAATGAATCATATTCCCCTTTTCTTGCCTCTTTCATTTCTTCTTTACTCTTGATCAATGTTCCTTTCTCTATATGCATATTTTCCCCTAAAATATGTCTTATCTATAACTATGAAACACTTTCTGCATGAAGACAGCTTTTGCCTTCTTTTCATTACTTAACTTTTTGATAGAGCAGTGGGTGACCTTTATTTTTCCACTGCCCACTCATTTGTTAATTTTTTTTTAAAGAGAGAGAGAGAGAGAGAGAGAGAGAGAGAGGGAGAGAGAGAGTTT